GCTACTCTAATTTTTAATTTTAATTTTATGTCTTTACCCCAATCTCTAGAGATACCAGAATTCTGTTCTGGTACCATTCTAGAAAATCTGAAAATAAATATTCTGAGAAGAAAACCACAATCTCACAATCCACCACTATCAATAGGGCCTCATGCCAAGCAAATGCTCCACCACTTAGCTACACCGCAGCCCCATTTTTTAAAATACAAAAACAAATGTAACACGTTTCTTTATGAACCCCTCATTTTTCATTAAACACTGACTGCCAAGTTCAAGGAGGTCTCCAATGGGTTCAGTTCATTTCTTGTATATCCCCCTCTGTCCTCCCTTGCTGCACAGGTGACAGGGCCCCATTTACTTTGGTTCACTGGTACCCTGGGATATTCACTCAAAGTAAACTCAGTGGGCACTGAGCAAAGACTTACAAACTGTATAGACTGCACTAGAAATGGTCCCTGGAGAGGTGTTGGTGAAGGGCGGGGGGGTTTACCTGATATTGCACTGAAGAACCATTACTTCCATTCCCACTTTTTGGGAGACAAAACTCTTTCCCATCATGACAGCACTGTCATTAAAGAGAGTAGGATCCCTCTTGATTCAATTTTCTATACCTTTTTTTGTATCTTCAACTTTCAATATATGTAACTCCTTGTATTGAGTTATTAAACCATGGACTTATACTGGAAATCTTACCATTCATTTCCATTTTCTGCCAAATATAATCTTATGGGGGGTGTATACAGAAAGCAAGTGAGTTGAGTCCTCTTGCAATTGTAGGTATTAGCAAATAAAATTCTCTTGTATCCTTGTTTCCCCATCAGCAAAAACAAAAAGTACCAAAATGGAGCTGTAGAATATTCCACTAGATTTAAGCTCTTGTGTAACTATTTATTCAATTCCCAAAGTACACTCTACCATATAAGGTATGAACCCTGTTTTATTCTACATCAATTGTATTTATTCATGGAAATTAGAGGTGTTATTAACTTAAATCCTGGCAGATCCTCGTTTGTTTTAGCACTCGGGGGGCCCACGTGGTAATTACTGCTGCTATATACAGAAGGAGTTAAAATTGACACAAGATTTATGCTCTCTAACCCTGCTCTTAAGAATCATTCACATCTCTGAATTCAAGGCTGAGGGACTTGCTAACTGCCACCATAACCCTGTGAGAGATTTATTACATTGGGACTGAATTGCTCTTGACTGAAAGAAGTTGGTCACCATTGTGCTCATGGGTAGGGCAGGGAAAAGCCAACCCTGGGGAATAGCCTTGAATTATTACAGTCACACAAGGTTGAAGAACGGCAGGGAGCCAGGGAGGAAGGCTTGGCAGAGAGATTGAGGAAAGCAGAGAGAGGACAAGTGAGAAAGCTAAGTGTGAAGGGTCTTGCTTTAAACCTGATTGGTAGCTTTGGGCATCTATCCTGTCTTTCTGGGAAAAGAAGCAACTGGCATATGCTTTGCTTTCTATCTTTAGAGGTACCACAAGCCAAAATTTTAAAGGCGTTTGTGTGGATAAATCTGGAGCAGCTGATCAGGAGCCGGGAAGCAAGGGAAGGAAATCCCTTATATTATTTTTCTAATAAACTTTTTTGGTTATATAGGCACAGAAAATGCAGACATCATCCTAGTTCATGACAAATCATTATAAAATTTAAATTCAAAGAGATTCAGATCAACATACTCATTGAATTCATCAAATGTCAAGGATCACATCTAGTAATTTAAAAGACAAATTTCAAAGAAAACTTTCTGCTCTCCCAGCACATGACAGGAAGTGATCTGTGTGCATAGAGAGATGATTAGAAAATATTGCTACGTTGGCAGCTATTTCCTCAGCTTTTCACCTCATTTTGGGCTTTAGCTTCTTTCCAAAGTACATTGGTGCATCCGGGCAAAGGCTCTGCGGAGACAATAGTGAAGCTTGACTAAGTGCACCCATAAAAGAGACTTTCAGGAAAATTAATAGCTTCTGTTATGAGTTGGTCATATTCTTGCAAGGTAATTGACAGAGAGATGCCCTTAAAATGGGAACCAAATATCAGATTCATACCACTTTCTGCATCCCACTATTATTTTCTCTAGGATCTGCTTGTTAGTTTGACCTGATGGCTCTTTTTATTTTTTATTTTATTTTTTCTTACTATAGCTATAGCATTAGCAAAAAAGGCTCCCAGCTTTAAATGGTAGCTACAGATAGAATTTTAAACAAGTGCTATTCTGGAATGATGGAGAGAACAGCATTTGCTCAGGGATATGGCTCATTTATGAGGTTTCTCCATTAGTCACAGACAGTAGAATTGATTTATCATCTCCACATTTTTAGGGTTACTTTATCCACAATAGATGTGGATGTGGGAATGTTACAATGGAGGGAACCAATTTCCAGAAAGGTTAATTGACTTCCTCATAGTCACATGGCTTGTTAGTGTTGGAGCCACGCTTAGATCCAAAGTTTCGTGGAGCCTGGTGATGAAATGTTGAAATGAGATCACCCAGGCATAGATATGAGGGCAGATGAATGAAAAGGGAAACCATAGGTTTGAGTCAAAAGAGTAAGGAAGAACTAATGACTCTGAAACTATAAGGAAGGTGTGGGGAGGCAGACATACCTTATTACATTCCATGCACACCTCATGATATTTGGTATATTCCATGCATACGATAGCAGCATATCCTATACACATTTATTGCATATGAAGTCATCCATGCTTTTAAAGAAATACAATGGCAGCTGCAATAAAAATATGATTTTTATATCAAATGACCTCTAAATATGTCAATGAATTCATATAGTGCTCAACTAAAGAAAAAAAAAAGACCCCATGGCTGGATGGGTATATTGGCTATGGTGAAAGTCATGAAATCTAATACACTATATACAAAATAAGTCAAAAATATCAAAACTATTTCTGACTCTTATTTTTTAACTTCTGCCTTGACTTTGAAGTCAACTCCCAAATAAGTGGAAATTCACTGTATTGAAGTATTTATTTTTCCATCATAGAAATGAAGGAAAATTATGTGTGAATAGATGAATAGAGATCCACAGTTTAAAATTTTGGGAGAAAGGGAATTTCATGGATGGTGGAAGGAGACCCTCATTGTTATACAAAATACATGTATGAAGATGTGAGGAAAAAAAAAGAATAGCGCTACCTTAGATTAGGTAGAAAGAAGTGATGGGAGGGGAGGGGAGGGAGGGGAGATAGTAAGGATAGTAGAATGAAACAGACATTATTATTACTGTGTGTATATATGTGAATGCATGACCAATGTGATTCTGCAACCTGTATACTCAGAAAAATGAGATATTGCATCCCATGTGATTCAAATGTATGATATGTCAAGGTCATTGTACTGTCATGTGTAACTAATTAAAACAAATTAAAAAATAAAATGAAATAAAAAAATAAAATTTGGGGCTGGGGATGTGGCTCAAGCAGTAGCGCGCTCGCCAGGCATGCGTGCGGCCTGGGTTTGATCCTCAGCACCACATACAAACAAAGATGTGTCCGCCGAAAACTAGAAAATAAATATTTAAAAAAAAATTCTCTCTCTCTCTCTCTCTCTCATTCTCTCTCTCTCTCTCCCCCTCTCTCTCTCTCAAAAAAATAAATAAAAATAAATAAATAAATAAATAAAATTTTATTTATTTACTTTTTGTACTTAGGATTGACCTCAGGGGCACTTAACAACTGAGCCACATCCCCAACCCCTTTTGATTTTTTATTTTGAGACAAGGTCTCACTAAATTTTTTAGAGCCTTGTTAAGTTACTGAGACTGGTCTTGAACTTGCGATCCTCCTGTCTCAGCCTCCTGAGCCACTGGGATTACAGGTGTATGCCACCATGCTCAGCATACAGTTTAATTTTTAATTAAGCTACAAATATTCCATCATTTTCAGATACTTCTGTGCTGAAAGCCTTTTCATTAGGACTTAAAGTTCAAGAAATTTTACATAGTTTTAAAATGCATATTTTAAAATAGATAAAATATTTAAAAATATAAGCCTTAGGCAAGACCGTTTGGCTGTCATATATTGAACTTAAGTCTTAATGATATTCCTCATGGTTTTTTTTTCAAGTGTGAAATTGATCTGATTTTAATTTTTATAATAGATTCTCAAAATACAACATACACATTGAAAAATACTCATTATCAAATGCTCCTGTGTAAACAACATAAATATCATGATATAAAACTTAAGCATCCCAGAACTCTGCTCCATGTGCTTTTCTATCACCTTTCCTCAGAGATAACCACTAATCTTGACTTTCAACACCATTGGTTAGTTTTGTCTGTTTTTGTGCTTAATGTAAATGAATTCATATTTCATTCTACTCATTTGAGTTTGTTACTTTTGCACATTATGCTAGTGATATTCATCCATTGAGTTGTGGATAATTATAAATCATTCACATTGACATATAATGTTATATTATGATAATAAATCTTTGCACTGCAAAACGGTGTTTAAAACAGATGTTCATATGAAGCCAGCCAGCAATGTATGAAATTTCAAGTGGCTCTGCATCCTCCCAATGTTGGCATTTTTCATCTTTTTTTATTTAGTCATTGTAGTGGGTGATCATTGATTTTTAAATTGACCAAAGAAACCTCTAGCAAACTCACCAAACAAAGGTCTTCATTTAAGAACCGCTGTGTGCAAGTGGGGTTGGAGGGGGCAGCCTCTCCTACTGGGGAATGCTTCAATATCATCGAGCTCCAAGAAGAAGTACAACTTGAATGCTGCAAGCAGAAATGTCTCAGCTCAAACGAATGTTCTTGTTTGGAATACAGGAAAGCATTTCATTTGGGAATGAAGAGATATGCATTAGGCTAAATAGTTACAGAATCTGAAAACTGACATTTTAAGCTGGGAGAGAGTTATGGGATAGAAAAAAACAGTAAGGGCTTTATTTTTATTAATGTTTTTTTTTAAACAGGAAAAACAGGAGGCAGTGGCTGATTTATATTCTCATTATCATTGCAGGGTCTCCGTTTTGGTGCCTACTGGATATCGTTCCTATAAAGAATGAGAAAGGAGATGTGGTACTTTTTCTGGCCTCATTCAAAGATATAACGGATACAAAAGTGAAGATTACTCCAGAAGATAAAAAAGAAGGTTTGTACTGTTTTCAGAAAACATTGACAGATGGAGTAACATTTTGAAATTGTTTACTCAAAAACTTGAGAAGGGAAAAAAATTGCCTTTTTAATAACACCAACTGATAAATATTCATAACTGTTAGCAGTCAGTATTTGGTGCATATTCCAAAATCACAGAGAGTCCCATGCATTTACATTTTTGTAAATAGAAGCTCATTTGACAAAAACCAGAAGTTGATATTCCTCTGTAACTAGGATGAGGATGAGAACAGAATTTATCTCTACATAAAGATTCACACCACTTCATGGTATTATGCAAAAAGAAAAGAAAAGAAAAAGAAAAAGAAATTGATAGGATAAGTGAAGTTAAAATGATGTGATTAAAAATATATCTCTTGTTTCATCTAAAGTGCCACGGCTCAAAATGTAGAAGTGCAAAAAATTTTATTTTATGTATGACATTAAGAACTCCAGTTTAGTGGCTGTTAGCAAAGAATGTTACCAACAAATGTCTATCCTGTGCCTTCTAATACATAACAGTGTAATAGTTGTGCTTGAGAAACAAGCTTTGCAAATATCTTTAAACTCATGAACTATTTATCCTGAGTTCATGTTGCTCACCTTTATATTCTGTTTATAGCTTATGAAGAAATTGCCTGCATTTAATATAAGCCAGCAAAAATAACACTAAAAGTGCTGATACTGTTTGTTTTAAAAAGCAGTAGAGTAGGTGTTCTAGTAACTAGGAAAAAAGCTGTTTATCTTGTATTGATTTCCTATGTAGTGAGTTCTTTATTAGAACCAGCTGCTTGACATTGCAACATCTGTGTTTTTTTTAGGAGTGGATTCTTTACCTCTTTTTAAAAACGTGTGAGAGTGTTCAAAAAATATTATATCTCTTGAAATGACAACCCAAATGAAGAACTGTCACAGTTTGGTGCCCCTACTTCTGTCATTTGAAATTTTTGCAAATATATGACTTTTTCTGCATATTTGCATGAAACTGTGGCATATTTTAAATATATAAGAGAAGAACAGTATCATATGGAAATAATTTGGGTATTAGAACAAGTGTTAATACTTGTCCAATGTCAGTTCCACAAAGATAATGGGAAATCAGTGCATGCAGTTTTGGTTTTTCTATTTTCTTTTGAATAGAAGAATACAAAAGGTAAGGATTCTTTGAATAAAATTATTCATATATATATATATATATATACATACATATACACACATATGTGTACTTCTATATACACACACTACACATAAGTATATATGTTTGTATATTTACATAGATGTGTGGACAAGTAGAAATTTAAAACTCTCCTCTGCAGGAAATATATGGCTTGTTCCCCCCTCCCAGCTTTGAAGGGGACAGTTTAATCCAACTTTAATTGACTTGCTTTGAACATGAAAGACATGCTTAATTACACAAATTATTTAATCACCTTTGTCTTATTTCCCTCACATCTATGGATAGGGGAGAAATCGCCGTTTTGGCAGACTGCAATGGATAACAGGAGTAAAGTGTGCCTTTTCACTAAGATTTGAAAGAGCTTGGTTAAAAGTACCCTTTTCACTACCCAAGTTCTGAATCAGCTGAGAACGGAAAAAGAGTAAGGCAGATTAGAGTGCAAAATATCACCCTTATTTCTGATTAAACTAATAAAACAGGAAGAGGCGTATCTCTAACTGCAAGTGAGTTTCCTCCTCCTCCGGATAAGGCAGAGGTTCCCCTCAGTCAAAAGCTGAAAAGGGGCGGAGAACAGCTCCCCAAGGGGTAAGGAGAGGGCCAAGGCAATTGCTCCCTAAAAAGGAGAAAGAAGGCACCACATTATTCCTGCCCCTCTCCTCTTTCAAATGCAGAGGATTAAATTCTCCCTCTTCCCCTGAAATGAACTGAGGGAAGGAGCAGAGAGGGCAGCATATTATATTATGAGAGAGCTGCCTGAATGTGAAAGATTGCACCTGCCATTTGGGAGCAAAGGGTATGCATTAGAACACTGCTCAACTAATGACAATCGTTAACGATTCCTAATTTCATCTTAAAAATGAGTTCTACATTTATATTAAAATATATTAAAATGTGCTTAACAATAAATAGTACCATTTTCCAGAAGAAACATGTACACTATAAAACAATTTCCTGCAAGATTTAAAGAAAAAATGGCAAACTTTAAAAATTATATTATGCAAAATGCGACTTAATAATTTTAAAAATCTGCGAGTAAACTTCTAAATCTTTTTTTTAGTTTATAACTTCGTTCCTCAAATGACTATTATCTTAAATGAAAGTAAGCATTATTTCTAATATATTCTGAATGTTCAAAAACATCTTTTGTCTAATGTGGCCTATGTATGTCCCAGAAAAGTATATAGTATTTTTAGAAAGGCTAAGTAACTATGGTAAGTTATCACTGTTGTAAAATTATTATTTAAAAAAAGATTTTTTTCTCTTTTGTTTTAAACTTTATTTAATGGAGGAAAACATCATTTGATGGCATATCTTTCAGGAAAAACATACCTTAATATGTGGTATTTTTAGAACTAAATAAACATTTAAAAATCATTAAGAGTTCTTATGTAAATGGAGCAGTATTGTACCAGAAAACTCTAAATGAGCATGTGGCCTGATTTGACCCTATACTGCATCATTGAAGTTCATCTAAGTAATATAAATAAGGTTTGTGTTAATTAAATTAATTCCCTACAGAAGTCGTTATGATGGACTTTGCTTGATAGATACAAATGGTGTGAACTTCTATTTTTTTTTTAAAAAAATACTTTAGTTGGCCAAGCATGGTGGTACACACCCTGTAATCCCAGCTACTCTGTAATCCCAGCTACTCTGGAGGATGGGGCAGGAGAATCGCGAGTCCGAGGTCAGCCTCAACAATTTAGCAAGACCCTGTCTCAGAATAAAATTAAAAGGATTGAGGATGTAATTCAGTGGTAGAATACTTTAGTCACTAATCTCCATGTAGTTTGGGGTTGTATTTGAAATGAAGAAAAACATTTTATAGGAAGGGCTAATAACGTATGCAATACAGTGAAGACTTTCCATTAATAAACAACTGATGAAAGATTAGCACATCATGTCAAATACTCTTTGTACCTGCAGTAGCTTTCAAGTGGGCATCTGATGTGTGTTCTTACATTCATATGTGTGAGTGAGAGAAATCTGACGGGTTTTACCATCTTTTAAAATACTCTGCTTTTTGCCAGGTGTGGTTGCAGATGCCCGTAATCCCAGCAGTGTGGGAGGCTGAGGAAGGAAAATCCCAAGTTTTAAGCTAGCCTCAGCACCTTAGGGAGGCCTTAAGCAACTTAGTAAAACCCTGTCTCAAAATAAAAAATAAAAATGGGGCTGGGAATTGCTCAGGGGTTAAGAGTAGTCCCTGGGTTCAATCCCAGATACTAATAATTAAGTAAATAAATAAATAAAAATACTCTCCATTTTTTGACACATATATGCTTCCATTCCCAAAAAATGAAGAAAAATGTGTACACTGGTAACCACTGACTTCTGTGTCCACATCTGGCATTACTTGCTGAATGAATTTAATATAAGACTGTTAGTGTTTTTCCCTATTCATATATCCATAAGATATATTTTGACATAAATTTTGAGTCAGTGTATCAATCAGCTTGGCAACTGAGATTCTTTTCTCACTGATCTGAAGTCTTGTCTGCCAGTTAAATGTCTTTAAAAAAAAAAAAAGAAAGGAAGAAAGAAAGACCTGATAGCTTCTTTATATAAATAGCTGAAACAGGCACAGTCTGTGTGATCACAGGTCCTCAAAAGTGGGGAAAAAATTAGCAAAAAATTCCTTAGGCCTGAAAAGTAGACGATTCTAAATTAAGCAATTTGATTGATTAAAATGTCATTAAATAAAATTAAATAGATAAAATTTTAGAAATTATTTTTAAAATTTAGTATAATTATAATGACTAAATAATCCAACAAATATTAATTGAGCACCCTACCCTGCCTTCAGTATTGGCATTTGGAGATGTCAAAACAGAAACAGTCTGTTTTGGATCATCTAAATCTCAGTCCAAATCCTGGTTCTTCTACATGTTGCTGTTTTGATTTGACCTTCCATCTTCCACAACTGTGAGAAAATAAATTCCTATTGTTTAGGTTATCCAGTCTATGCTGTTCTGTTATAGCAACCTTAGTAAACGTGTGATTAATAAAACAAGCATCCAAGAGGTACTTGCCTTCTTGGAAACCAAGCTTTCTCATCAGTAAAATAAGTTGTAGATTTATAAGAAATAATGCATGCAAATCTAGAGAACAGGGCATATAGAATATGCTTAATCGATCTTTGTTGCTATATTCTATATGTTTTATAAAACTAGCTAGCTTTTATTGAGCCTGTGCTTCATGCTAAGTGTCTCACTTGGGTTCATTTACTGCTTCACTTACTACTCATTATAATCTTTTTTTAATATTTATTTTTTAGTTGTAGTTGAACACAATGCCTTTATTTTACTTACTTATTTTTATGTGGTGCTGAGGATTGAACCAAGGGCCTCGCACGTGCTAGGCAAGCACTCTACCACTAAGCCACAACCCCAGCCCCTCATTATAATCTTACGAAATATTTTTCCTAGTCCCATCAATTTCAGTACTTGACAAAGTTGATATAGTAAAAAATGCTAACACTAGGATTTATACTCATACGATCAAGCTGCAGAACCTGCATTCTTTTCCCCAGAGCCCCTGGCCTCAAAATGTGTATAATGGTATGAGGACATAGATCCAGCAGTTTGCAAAATAGTATATTCAGTAAATGACACTATAGAATAGCAAAAATGATAAACTCTTCCTGGGCAAGGGAACAGGATTGGTTGGGGGCAGTCTGAAGTGGATCAGAGTCAAGGAGAACTTCACAGGGAGAATAATACTGAAGCAAATCTTGAAAGATAAGTGGAGTGTGATTGCAGGGAAGGGAATGTTAATTTCATGTGACAGAATAGCAAGTAGTGGATTTTTTTTCAGAAGAAAAA